TGATGGACGGGGAAATGAATTCAACTCTGTGGCACAGGGTTTCCAGAGCAAGTGTGGGAGGCTATGTCAGATGGTGGCATGTGTGCCGAGGTGTGGAACAGAGGCATCAGGAATACGATTATTCTCCTGATTCTTGAAAAGCTAAGTCATTCTATCTTGGCAACCAGCAATCAGAGGTGTCAGGTGATAGATTAAAACTTGACATCTAATTTGATCTTAGGGGAACTGAAAATAATAAGTACTTTATATTTGTGGAGCACCTTATTTTTTCCAAAGAGCTTCATGCACTTTACCAACTCCCTCGCCTGGGAAGGAGGGTAGAAGGGAAGCTTTAATAATAGTCTTCATAGTTCTGAAGCCTTATTATTAACTGAATGGTGGCCAGCTGTTCTCAGTGCCCCTTTCTTCCTCAACCTGAAAAGCAGCATAAGAAAAAAAGGGGGTGAAATTGCCATACATGGAAAAGACTCTCAGATCAGGTTGTGTGGGGTAGAAAAAGAGGCTGGGGGAGGCAGTGGAGTTCCCTGGAAAGGAAGTTCTTGCCACACCAACTCAGCCATTTCTTGGCTAATCATACTAGAAGGGAGTAGAACAAACACCCTGAAAGGCTCCTTCTGACATTGGACTCTCTCAGGGGATCTGATGGAACAGGAATGTGTGAATGGTAGAAGCCCTTACAAGTCCTTCCAGCTCAAAAGGAACCTAGGTCATTCTGTGGAAGAGGACACCTGCAACGTTAGTCTGTTGTTGGTTACTGTGACAAAATATGAGAAAAGCTACTTGTGAAGGAAAGTTTACTTCGCTCACGGTATAAGAGAATCAAGGGTCCAGGAGCCTGCATGGCTTGGCTCTGGCGAGAGCCTCTTGGCTAAGTCACAGCATGGTGGATCCCACCATGGAAGAAGTGTTTGTGAGGAAGAGACTGAAGCATCAAACCAGAAGCCACAGACGTGGGGAGGGGCTGGTTTACTCTCCTGAGAAATAAGTAGGGTCTCCCAAAAGAAGCACCTCAACAACCTAAGGCCTTCCCCTGGCCACACCTTCAACATCAGTGTAGCAAGAGCCAGGCCAACTCTTGGAAGACAAACTCCTTCAAATCTCACACTTGCCTTGCCTGATGGGATGGGATGGTCCTATTCTCAGGACTGGTTTACCCAACTGTACCCAGTCTGCACCCTACATCAACAGCTTCACCTGCAGGCCTTTCACAGAAGAGGCCCAAGCTGCTCCCAGGCACAGCTATGCTGGGTCTGCATGCTCAGGATAGAAGTAAGAGCAGTCAGTCTTCCCTGCCAACTGCACTGCCACCCACCCCCTTCTCTCCACTGGCTAGAGCTGGCCCAGCAATTCCACTTTGGAGAAGAAACGGACTGGGCTCTGAAGATTTGGGGCTCTGTTTCAGGTAGAAATAATAGAACTGAGGCAAAGCCTACATAGACTTATATTTCCCCTGAATCCAGATTTTTGGCCCCCGGAATCTGCATTTTTGGATGTAGAAGTATTTATTTCCATCTTTTATGGCATTCTGATGGCACAATACCTTTAGGCCTATAAGCTGAGGGAACAGAATGTCGTTGGGATGGTTAAGCCAGAGAGACCAGTGTCTCCAATAGAGCCTTGTCTCTGAGCTGGGTGTGAAAACTTGAGAGCCACAAGACCAGACCAGAATCCAGGGCTCCGCCACTGCCTAGCGCTTCTGTCCTGCCATGTGGCCCATGGCTGAAGTCTGCTGAGAAGCCGGTGTTCATGTTCTTCTCAGTCCTTCTTGCTCCGCTCTTAGTGCCAAGCAGGTCCAGGGGCTCTGGCCCACTTCTCTCCCCTCCTTGTGCTGCTAGCTAAATCTCATTCTGTGATCTTTGTCCTTAGTGACAACGTACAGCACAAAGCAAAAAATAGCAGTTTGATTTTTTCCCACATTCCAAGTTGAGCTTGAAGTGCTAGCAGTTTGAAATGCACTGCACAAATAAATCTTGTTTTGACTCATCGTCTAGGGGGTGGATAAATATGGAAACCCCCAAGATATAATTTTGCAGTCATTTTTTTCTTAGTATAACGGCATGCTTTAATGTGCTGAGAAATTTTTTGTTCTGGCTCCAGAGAAATAGAAGCACTATCCCAGCTAAGTGTTTTTTCATGCCTCTCAGCAAATAGATATTAACACACACACACACACACACACACACACACACACACCCCTACAGCTAACCCAGCCCAACAGCTGCATATTCTGAGCCGAATGCCAATCCCTAGCTCCAAGCTGACAGCTCTGGTTATTTAAAGTCAGAGATGGGTAATCTTTATAATTTCAACAAATCTGTCTTCCAAAAAGCTCAAGTTCAGAAAAAGGCAACTAAAATGATTGAAGGTATAGAGAGGGTTCTCTGTCAAATGGTCCCAGAAGAGAAAACAGTTCTAGAAGCCTATTTTACAGATCAGGAATTAGAGACTTAGAGACGAGTAATCAGATGAGTCATGTAAACAGATAGTCACAGAGCCAACGCACACCCCACGTCTCCTAAGAGTTCACGTGTCATTCTGGTCTGTCACACTTCTGGAATTTTTAACTACATCTAGAGCTATATTAGCAGAGGTAGAGTGAATCTGAGACTTTTTCACTGAAGCCCTAGAAACTTGAAAGAGAGATGCTTTGGATTTTTAAAAGGAAATAATGTATTGAGGTGTGGCTTAGTGGTAGAGTACTTGCCTCACATCCCAGAGATTATGGATTCCATGTCCAGCACTGGGGAAAAAAGCAATATGTGTCACCTAGTGGGTGATTAGGAACTTTCCTGTGCTGAGTAGCAGCAGGCTGAAAACCCAGTTATGGATGGGAAATGTACAGCACTTGGGCAGTAGTCCACAATCGTTAGGGTTGGCGGGGCCCACAAGACCTGTGTGCTGTCCAGCCCCTCCTCCCTCTGCCCCTGTGCCCACATCCTCCGGTCTTCTGTGTGTCCTCTTTCATTTTTGCCATGTAGGCGTCATTCTCCTTTACCCACAGCAGGCCAGGCCCACAGAGGGAAAGTAGACTGCCCAGAGTGCTTCTGTGAGAAGGAAAAACACAGACAACAGAAGCCATAGGTCATGCTGGGTGCTTTACTTTCTTTTGCTCTACTTTATTTTTATATCTAGGAATTGCTTTTTAAAAGAAAGAAGACGTCCCCTTTCCCTGAGAGGTGGCGCTGCTGTTGTGGTGTCCAGGGCTAAGAGGTTAGATTTATAGCTCAAACCCTACTCCATCCCTTTGGGCCTCTCAGTATTGTCATCCTCTCTGTGGAGGTGGAAGCCACAGCCATTGCCCCTTCCCAGTGATAACAAAATCCGGCTCAAATTCTATCCTGAGATATCAAGTCTGATGCTCATATTTTCAGAGAGTTTCCATGTCGAGAAATCCCACAAGCCTTAGTCATCCCTCACACATCAGCATACAAATATATCTTTCTCGTGTGCTCTAAACAGCAAGGCTTTGGCCCAGTTCCTTGCTTCCTCCTCATTTCCTTTTCTGTGAGAAACTTTTTGCACAAGTATTCAGTTACCTGGCACCATCAGAAAATGGGGAGCTACCCATGAGCCAATTCTCTGGCTGGTAGGGGGCCACAGTGGCGGGGATTCACTTTCACTCTTCTTTGCACCTAAGTGCAGTGCACATACTCAGTAGGTCCGAAGACACTGGGATCTTGGAGGGGCTCTGAGTCATCATTAAGCATGTTAATTCCCATCTCAGCAGTGGGCGCCATTTTTAGAAAGTTCTGTTTAGTAAGATGCTAGGGAGCAGAGAGGTGGCAGGAAGTAAGGATCCAGATGAAAGCGGTGGAGGAGTGTGGACCTGTTGTCTGACAGGGCCTCATGCCTTACAGACGTTGTTGTTCTTTTAGGTTCTCTGAACCCAATGTTCTCATTTAGTAAATGAGATTTTTTTTCTACTACTGCACGGCAATAAAAATGAATGTACAGATTAAGGAAACTTAGAGGCTTTAATTTTAAAGGTAATTGCCTTTAAATTTAAAATAGGTGTTCCTGTTAGGTGGACTTCAGACATTTATTTGAAGTGCTAGGTAAAGTAGCTTAAGTATTAGAGCAAAACTTACGGCTTGTCAGCTTCTGCTATTCCACAGTCCCTTCTGTTTAGTAAAACATTTAGCTAGAATGAGTAACTATTATCAAATTATGGTAAAAAGGTCTAATTAAATATTTCACAAAGTAAAAATAACCTTTTTAAATGTGAGCATTACTGTGTTTGCACACTGAATAGCTGCCGGTCCTGGGCCTCTGTTCCCCTCGGAAGAGGCACATGCTTCCCCCCTTTCTGGGAACTGGCAGGGACACCAGTCCTCAGGCCCCTGGCTGAGGTGTCCCAGCCAAGCAAAAGTGAGCAGAACCCATGCTGGGAGTGAGCCTGTGGCTGCTGTGGCCTCGTGGGTCTCCCAAATGCAGGTGCCCACCTCCAGTTAGGCACTCAGCAGTCCTTCATGGAGTTCCATGGGCCCCATACGAGGAGTTAGATTTGCTCGAGCCCTCGGGGAGCCCGTGTGCCAATAGGCGCCCTCTGGAGATGCCACTTCTAATCCAAGTATTCTGCAGAAGAGCTCCAAACCATGCTAATTTCCTTGTTTCATTCCACAATATGATCACTCAATAATGTCACAGTGGACACTATAAACCCTAAAAAAGGGCACAGTGTTCATCGCTGTCCATTGTGGCCTCCCTTCCTCTACCTCCATCCCAGGATACCTGGGGAATCTGCATTTCCATCAAAGAGCCAAGGTGAGTGCAGAGGGGCAGGTGGCTGTTGCCCTGATGGGGACTAGAGGCAGCCAGAGGCTGCTGGCCCTGTGCAGAAGTTGATAAACAGAGGCTCTCGGAGGAAGCAGCCCTCCCTCCTGTATGCCAGCAGAGGACTTGCAAAGTACATTTTACCAATCCAGCCAGCAATTTAAGCCTGCCCTTCTGGGCTCTCCCTGTGGAGGCTTTTCTCAGCTGGGGGTTTATCTGTTCCGCAGGAAGCTGTGGGAGACCGTGTTCCTGTTCTTCTGCTGGGCAATAAACTCGACAATGAGAAGGAGCGGGAAGTTCCCCGGGGCCTGGGGGAGCAGCTTGCCAAGGTAAGGCACTGGCCTTCCTTTTCTCTGGACACGGTGGGAGCTCCCAGGCAGTCCTGGCTCCTGTGCTTAAAGAAGGACACAGGTCACACGTATAGTTATTTGGGAGCCACTAGGTGTGGTGAATTATCCTAAATTTTGTTCCTTGGGACACAGAGGTGGCAAGAGGTGGCAAATACTGTGTATTTCAGTCTGTTCTGTGTCATCTGCATTTGCATTTGATTACCATCAAAGATGAAAAGCTCACTACCCACAGGGCCACTGTGCTCCTCCTTGGGCCACTCTGCTAGAGAATCATTGTTTCTGCCAGAATGGTGCTTTGCAGGTGTGAACTCAGGATAAACTGAGGGGAGGCATTGGAAAGCCTACTGCTAAAGTGATATCAGCTCTGGCCAAGAATGGACCAGTGAAGCTTCGTGGAAGCCAGACAAGACAGAGCTTGCTCTCAGGCTTCTCTTTCACGGAGCTGTGTATCTGGGAATATGGGTGCTCGCTGGCCCCCAAATTCTGCACTTCTTACTGCAGCCACATAAACGGAGTTGTGCTCACCAGGGTCTTGGAGACATCACTGACAGTGAGAATCAAGGACAAGGGATGAAGGAAGGCCTACCAGGTGTCTGTGTGGAGGTCAGTGGGTGGTTCTGTGTCTGCAGTTCTGAGATCCAAATGCCCAGAAGAAAGATTCTTATATATTTCATTTGGCAGCAAAGTCTGATTGCAACTGACACAAACCATGTAGTCTTAACTGCATTGTGAGTGAATATTCAAGTGTCTCACTGAAGAAATAGGAATGTATTTGATTACAGTGTGGCATCCCAGGCCTTCTGAGGTATTATATAATATACAAGGTATACTATATGTGTTACCTTCCTATATTTAAAAAAAAACTAAATTCCCAAAGACATGTAGATCCAAATATTTTAGCTGAGAAAATGAAGATCTATATTATTATTTTTATTATTACTATTATTATTATTATCCCATCTTCATTGTGTTTTTTTCTTTTCAATCCATGAGAAAAACACTGAGATGGCAGTTGAGTGATGTGTTTGTTGGTTGCTTGGCCCCCCATGGGTCCTGTATCCTCCTATAACCTACCCAAGAAGCCTGTTGGACTGACCTAGAGTTGGGGCTGGACTGTAGTGTGCATGGGGAGGTGAGGGGCTGAGACCAAGTGAGGCTGGGGCTGTGTGTGGAGATGGCTGGATTGCAAGCCAGAGTTTGAAACATGACTGCTGAAGTATCCTCACTCCGATGGCCTAGTCCCCACAAGATGTCCCCTCCAAGGAAAGAGCATCTCAGAGCAGGAGCTGGTGCCATCAGCATTGCTATCGCAGAGTGAGAAATGTGCTAATGGAGATGATAAATGCACCACGGAGAGCTTTGGCTCAAGGCCTGTGCACACCGCACAGCCTCCACCTAGTGTGGTGTGGGACAGTTGCCCTGTGTGCCGGCACTGACAGCCTGGGCAGCTGGGGCAGTCATTAACTGGCATGAAGGAGAACCTGACTGGTGGGCTCATGACAACTTCCAGGCTCCACAGGGCTCTAGTGTTCTGGGTAGAGGATGTTGCTGAAAGCCCTGCTGTTCATTAACTGCATGACCAGAGCCAGCCAGCTGTGTGATTCTGGCCTCAGCTTCCTGGCCCAGGAAGTGTGAAGGCTATGACCTGTGCTGGCCTGTGCATCTCTGACTCTATTCCAGGACTGCTGAGACTCTGAAAGGAGTGTGCACATTCTCGCCAGGGGAGCCAGGCTGCACAGGGTTGTCTCAGCATCATTATGACTCACCTGGGGTGCTTACGGAATGAGGTGCTTACAGATGCAGGGCCGGGACATCGCCAGAGCCAGAGTAAGGACAGGGCTAAGGAGTTAAAGGGCCTGTGAGAGGAGGTAAGGGCTTAGGGAGAGGCACACAGAACAATCCCCTGGGTCCCTCACCTCCCCCTCCTAGCTCCTGTTTTATGATTCTAGGAGAACAATCTGATCTTCTATGAGTGCAGTGCCTGTTCCGGTCACAACACCAAAGAGTCCCTGCTCCACCTAGCCAGGTAAGGAGACTGATACGGCAGGCCAAGGGATGTGCTGAGCCCAGCGGTGCTAGGCCTGGTGGATGCACTACATCCCTTCAGCCAGGACCACACCTGCCCACCCACCCGGTGTGCCCTAGCACTCGGAGTGGATGTCAGCTGCAAGGAGCAGGCTTCTGGAGCACAGCAGGGATGGTAAAGAAGCTCCTGCGGGTCACCTCCTTCATCTTCTTAGTCTTATAGGTGGCCTTTTGACAGGGACACTGGGAAAGGTTCTCTTGGAGGTCTGTCAACACTGTACCTAGCATCTTAGCAGGGATTAGTGAGCAGTCAGTGAGGACAGTGTGGTTCTCCTGAGAAGAGGAGGAGGCCAGGCGAGAAAGGAGAATCAGTCAGGAGTCCCCACAGTTACGATGCTCGAAGAATTGGATGCACAGAAAAACTTGTTCCTTAGAACCATGTCTAATCAAAGATTAAGACAACAAAATAGCTTTGTACAGTGGAGACATCAGGGTTAAGGGAGAAAGTCCTAGACTTCTCGCCAACGCAAACTCACCACTTTGTGGGGTCATTCCTGCCCCATCAGGGTTTGTGGAGGTCAGGGTGTGGGGCATGCGGTGCAAGTACTAGGAAGACATAAAGCAAGACCAGAAGCTCACCATCATCTAAATCCCTTGCCTCTTGCATTTAATTTGAATCTGTGGCCACGGGGCTCTCCGGCCTGAGAAGTTAACAGTGATTAAGTCTGTGTCACAAGTCTGTGTGCCAGCTACCGCAGTGGGATGTTGGACTCAGAGACAAAGCCGCTGTCTCTGCCCTCAAGTATCCCACACTCTGGTGAGAGAGAAAGCAAAGGAGTGCACTGCATGCCGTGCCGAGTGGTGGGGTGCCAGGGAGAAAGGTCAGAGTGCAACAGGGATGATGCGTGGCCCAACGAGAGAGTAGTCAAGGAGGCTTCGTGCAAGAGCGGTCCTGAGGATTCACGTTAGCTAAGCCATGACCTTACACCCAGTCACTGCCTGCACTGCCCCCGGGGAGGCACTCAGTGCTCTGTCTTGTGCTCTGTGCTTTCTTTGTGGCTCTAAAGGCCTGTCTGTGGGTGTGCTGGGCTTCTGAGCCTGGCAGGTTTGCACAGCTGATACTGTCCCTTCTCCTTTCTCAGGTTCCTCAAGGAACAGGAAGACACAGTGAGAGAGGACACCATTCAGGTTGGCTGCCCCACCAAGAAGAAATCCTGCTGTGGATGACAGGAGGCCTTCAAGGACTGGATACCCCCAGCCCTGGCCTGCAGGGCGGCCCTGACCCTGCAGATGGGCTCCTGTGCTGCAGCCCCCGGAAAGGCCCATCCAGACCTCTGTCTGTGTTGGGGACTTGCTTCCCCCGGAGGAAGGGAAGCCAGTGGGCCAGCAGTGCTGCTCTCAGGCACCTTTCCTGGACCCCAAGGGTCCACTCCTTTTTTTTTTTTTTTTTTCTTCCAGCTCAGTTTCCTGGGGGAAAGAATTAGGTGGACCCTTGCAGAAAAATGATCAGGTGCCTTTTCCACCTCCCTCCTCCTGTTGTCCTTAGGAGCATCTGTGCTGTGGTTGGCATGGCAACTGTACAGGCCAACTTGCTGCTTCCTGGAGGCCAAAGATGTACCATTTGGATGATGCCAGAGTTGCTTCTCTTGCTTTGACCTCTATTCTCCAGAGGTCAGAGGGATACTCTTAGCACACATTTTGTGGACCTTGACAGACTTGGATTGTTGAAAGAAGTAAATATTTGCCTAGAGGTGCTGCTCCATCCTTAACCCAAGCCTCAGAGCAGTCTCCTAGTGGTCACCATGCCTATAGATTGACCCCTTTTGAGTCTCTGGAGCAGTGCTTCCCCGAGAACCTACAGCTTTTCCTGCCCACCTCCAGTGACAACCTTGACTCTAGGGTGAGCCAAGGGTGACAATTTATGTCCTAAGTTAGGGAGTTGGCTTTTTTCCTACTTAACTCTGACTAAGAGATGAAAAGAAAACAAGGGGAAAAACCATCTGCTGCTAAAGGGAGCTACCATCTCTGGAGGGTATAAGTAAGATATAGACAGTTATATAAAGCCATGTTCTACATGTGCCTCAGAATAGCTCTTGAAAAATCATGTGTGATGATTTTTTTTTTATTAGAGAGAGAGAGAGAGAGAGAGAGAGAGAGAGAGAGAGAGAG